AAGCAGTAGTTCATAAACATATCTCTTTTCTTCAACTATCATCATACACATCAACTTATTATACTATTAAGAAAAGAATTTAAAAAAAAAAGAAAAAAAAAAGAAATGCATAGCTACAGAAAGAAACATAAATGTGATATTCAAAATCTTTGTAATGACTGAACAGTTCTAATTGCATACAAGATACCTAGGTTTAGTCAATCGACAGTTCTTTTGCACCTGGGGGTCATCAATACTTTTTAGACGAACGGGCTTTCATGTCAACTAATAAAAACATGTCATCCGATAACTATGTGTTTGGTGGGAAGGGGGGGGGGGGGGGGGGGGGGGGGGGGGGGAAGAGAGAAAGGTTATATATAAATTTATATATTTATATATATATATATATATATATATATATATATACACACACACACACACGCACATCTGCTCAAGCACTGATATACTAGTTCTGTTGTACATTACAAAAGTGTGTTTCCCTTGTAGACACAAACCCATGGCCTTCTCAGTCATACGAAGCAACACAAGCCATGTTTTGAGAACACTCCTATCCTCTCTTAGAAATCACACCACAGAAGAAACAATCTTATGTATGACTACAGAGAAATATCCTGGGAAAGCAAGGTGGATGGTATGCAGGTGAGGCTACTGTCAAAAGTGGATGAGCAATGGACCAGGATGATATACTGAATACACTTCTACTTCTTCTTCACTTTTGCCGGCTGTAACTCTAGCAGAAAGTTCTGGTTGTTTGTTAACCTATAGCTTTAGTCGTGTTCCAGAATTTCAAGAAGCTGAATGTAGCATGCACATCTGTTTTACCGATCTAACCAATTTGTATGCAGACTGTTGGTTCCTTGACTCTAAGGCAGATGCAACCTAACTTCGGATGAAGTCCTCAATTAGTCGACATGCTTGCTGGGAAGGCAGTGGGTCTATTCTTATTGTCCTCACAATGGAACCCAGAACCCACAATGCTCTAGAAGAAGTAAGACAGTTGTGAGATCCAGGTGATGACTGAGAATCTGCAACCATGATCAGACTGCAAGAACAGCAAGTGAAAAAGGGGGTGAGGCCACACATGCGCACCATGCAGGAGCTAAAAAAGAATAACAAACCAACATAGAACTGATAACATAAGCTGCTACGCATGGTAGGATATCGTGAAGGTATCCGAACACTTAAAGACCAAATGGTTCCACGTGTAATGAGGATGATCTGTTGACTAACTAAAGGTCCATTTACATTTTTTTTAAACATCCAAACATGCATAAGTCTAATACCAGACATGAGTAAGACGACTGTCCCACTTCAAGTGATGTTCTGGTGCCAGGATTTCTTCAGTAGAAAAAAAAAAAAAATAACATGCACAGTACAAAGTGACTAGATCAAGCAACTGGAACAGACAAAATAAAATAAATAAAAACTTAAAGAAATTGAACAGACTTCCACAACAAAGAAGGAACACTAATGACAGAAACAATATGAAAAATTAAAAAGAAAAAAAAAGCCATTGGTCTGGATAATCTGTGTGATTCCATCTTGTAGCACCAATATCACACTGTACAGAACACTGACAAGACAGCTGTGCTATATGGCTCTGACACACCAATATCACACTGTACAGAACACTGACAAGACAGCTGTGCTATATGGCTCTGACACACCAATATCACACTGTACAGAACACTGACAAGACAGCTGTGCTATATGGCTCTGACACACCAATATCACACTGTACAGAACACTGACAAGACAGCTGTGCTATATGGCTCTGACACACCAATATCACACTGTACAGAACACTGACAAGACAGCTGTGCTATATGGCTCTGACACACCAATATCACACTGTACAGAACACTGACAAGACAGCTGTGCTATATGGCTCTGACACACCAATATCACACTGTACAGAACACTGACAAGACAGCTGTGCTATATGGCTCTGACACACCAATATCACACTGTACTGAACACTGACAAGACAGCTGTGCTATATGGCTCTGACACCTAGAGTGCAACACAGAATAAAGAAGCCTCATAGCACATTCGTTCTTAGATCAGAGTACTGAGACACATTCTGGATTTATCAAAGATTAAAATGTTGGAAATTAAAAAGCAATAATGAAATTTAAAATCTATTTAAATCACCCTGCAACCATTGGTTGGGGCATACAGACAGAATGGCAGATAACAAACAAAAACCATGTACAGAAAAGAGTTGAATAGGAGCAGACAATGGGGCAGACCAAGAAGATAGTCAAAAGATAACAATCAGACCCACAAACACATGGAGTAACCAACTGAAAAGTTAAAGCTAATCACAGAGATGAAATAAGGTGGGGATATCTCCAGCCAAGAACCTCAAGGGCTCAGAATGCTGAAGGGGGAAAAAAAAATAATCTGTGTATATGGGGGAAAATAGGAGCACAGTTACAGTGATTATAGAGAACACTACGTTCATTCCAAGAGGTTCCAATCCAAAACATGTCATTTGTAAGTGACATCACTACTAGCCCTACTAAGCAGCTGAACTGGTGTCTAGGGAAATAAAGGCTGGTAACTGCCTTAACCCAGTAGTCAGGTGTCTAAGTGACCACTGACCCAACACTTTTATGAAAGATATTTCTTCTTCTGCATTGACACTAAAAGGGCGGTTGGAATGTGGTTGTTTATGATGCTGCAGTATCTACGACCTTCAACCCAATGCATCCAGTTTCATCAAACCCATAATTAGTTGCCTTTTATGACAAGTTTGTAAAGAGACAGTGAGTCTATTCTATCCCCCCTTCCCCCTTCCACTCCAAATGAGCACCGGAGCCCACATAGAGATGTGAGGTATTTAAAGTGGGCTGACTTTTACTTCACAGTGACAGCTTCCTTCCATTATGTTCAGCCTCTCTCTCTGCACAGCAGCTGGTCTTTAGGGAAAGCATAGATTCTGTAGCTCTAGCATGGTCACACAGGGATCTCTAAAACATTCAAAGAGTCCAGAATTGAACCCACACCTTTAAAGCATAACAGAAAGCAAATCACTGAACCACTGTCACACACACAAAACCCACTCTTGAGAAGAAAATCAAAAAGCACAAATAAAAACAAATCTGTGACAGCTGGCAGTGAGTCCCTGCCAAACGATGTCAGACGAACATGATTATCCAAACCAATGGCCTGAACACAAACAACAAAAGTTAAGAAAACCATTCCCAAAAAAACTAAAAATATGAGATGTGACAACTTGAAAGGCAAGAAAATACAAACTGAAAAAAAAAACCACTGGTCTGACACAGACAAGTTACCTGTTTATGTAACTAACTCTGAAAAACAAGAAAGATACACAACCACATAATGTGACACACAAAGAGTACATAGTATCTGCATCTAAGTTAATATGTCATGATTTAAGTATGCCTAGCGGCAACATTTCTGCCTCAGAATATGTGATTTCTTCAAGGATCTCCTACCAAATGTTATCAAATTTCTATCTAAAGACTGTTTAATGTGCCCTATGTATATATTTATTTATGTTCCTACTTTCTTCTTCTGTTCTTTTGTCAACATTCACTTTGTGCATGTTATGATAGGTAACCGAGCCAGGGCGCCGGGGGGGGGGGGGGGGGGGGGGGGGGGGGGGGGGGGGGGGGGGGGTCTTGCTATGCTGTGGTCTTATGTTTTCAGTGACTTATTCAATCCATGTTCTTTAAGGTCTCCCTCTTATGTTTTCACTTTCATGTTGTACTGGCTGAATATTCTCAATAAATTTAATGAACGGGTATTATTCCAGCAGTTCTCATTCTTTCCTTTCTCACATGATCTCTTCCTGGTTTAGTTCACAGCTTTTCTCAAACATCTCACATCAAGGAAGGTTAATTCTTCCAACACCCCAGTCTTTGCTGTTCTATCTGTTTGGTTTGATGACAATTTTTTCAAACACTCTCTTCTTAACTGTCCTAAACAATCACCCTGCTGCTCCTAGGCTTGCATCAAGAAAAAGCTCATAGTTGTGTCTAGTGTTGCAAGATGACACTGTGTCAGGCCACTGCAGAGTGTCTGTCACTTTCCAGCCGATGGCACAAAGAAACACCACAGCCTTGAGGTTTTGTCATATTTGACAAAATATACACCCCCACTCCCCCAGCGACATTAAAAGATATAATACTCTCATAAATGCCATACTGAAGTGAACAGTTGAAGGCAGTGACATACATGAGGGAATAACCTGAAGAGATAAACAGTCTCACAGAGTGTATACCCAGAGCAAGAAATAAGAGCTGTTGGAGGACTATTATAGAAAACATGGCACCTGATACAGTATTCTGCTGGCAGAACAGCCAGTCCTGGATTTTAATTAACTGACAGTATCAAGTGTCTGTGAGCGTGAATGCACGCCCGCAAAGACACTTTTTAGCTCCATTTTCTGGAACTCATCTTGTGTTAAAATGATTACTGTTACCTGTTTCACAAAACCTGAAGCAATGAAGACTGAAATCAGATGTTCAAAGCTATAAACTACTGACCTGACAATGCAATAAGATCATATGAATAAATTAACAGTAAATATTTATTCAAGCAACAACAGATCAAATGGTTCGAACATGTGTCAAGACTATCACACCAGATTTTGAATCACAGAGAGCCGTGCCACTCTGACATAACCGAAGCAGGATTAGAGGTCAACCAAGCAAGTGATGTATAGATTGAACATCCCAGGCGTAAATACTAGCATATGAGTTATGAGTTGGACTATCTTCACAGCACTCCAGACACATCCATAGATGCTCAGATTCCCCCCTCAACATATTCATCAAATACTAGCATCTATGCAGCACATAGCTAGACTTGATACCTGATGACTCTATAAAGCTTGGCACTGAAAGGTAGACAGGATTAGAGGAGAAGAAGAATTTATGCATCATCTGCCACGGATCTAGCAGTTAATGGTGATGATAATGAAAGTCTGTGTACCCTGCAAGCACTAGAAATGGAAATGAACCCACCTGTTCCTGGCTGGCCCCATTATCTGTGCCATTTAAAACATCCTCGGGCACATCTGTGGTGTATGTGAATTTCTCTAACGTTGGCTTTGCGGTCCTCTTGCCCTTGAGTGGGGGGCCCACAGCCTTCTTTTCATAGTGAAACACAATATCCTGGTCTGAGGGCATGGTTGACTTGAAAGCTTCTTGTTCATATGCATTCTTCAGATACCTCCAGATGTGGACAAATTCTTTGGGGATGTCAAAGTCTCGATATGCCTGTATGGAAACAAGCAGAATTTAACAATCAGTCAACCATCATGTTGTGTGCATACTTGTTTAACAGTACAATCTGGCACTGAGAAGAATTAATAATAATATGAACTTTTCTGATCAAAGAACTTCTGCATCTGCCCTTGCCATGGTTGGCACATTGTAGTTTACAGCTTGGCTTCACCATTAGTCCAACACATCTGATCTCAGGAAACCCTCAATTAGTCGCTTATGGCTTAGGGTGACGATGATCTTAGGAACAATTATGTAGCTCTTACATTTAAAGATACCAGCTGGGGTCTTGTGTGAAGTGGTTAAGCTGTCTGCTTTGTTCTGTTAAAGTTGTGAGTTCAAGTTCTAACTCAGCAGCTATGCAGTCTGGACTCTATATGACAATCTGCCCGGGCAAACAGTCACTCTAGAGAGAAATATCAAGCCATGTGGGATGTAAAAAAACCCAGGTGCAATGAAGTGAATCCTGTCACAAAAAAACCAAGTCTATTGTAACTGTGAAGGAATGTGATACTTCCAGGCAGCCACTCTCTGTATTCCTAAGTGTTGTGCATTTTGTGGCCTTTCTGTAGGTAAACAACCCCTTCGCAGGTGATAAAGTTAAAAGTCAGGAAATTCAACTTAATTCCCCAGGTTATCCCATATGGCCTGGTATCTCTCCACAGAACATTTAGATGCCTGGCAAAAGCAATCCACAAAGCACACACCCCAAAGCTCCAGTGGCTATCCCCCAAGAGCTCTATAAAATGGCATTCCCAGGTATAAAGCCTATTGGCTATATGGCATTAGCCCCAGGTCAGTCGCATGCAGATCGTGCACTAAAAACCACCAATAGTAAAATAAGACATCATAAGCATTACAGGCTGTTGTTAGGAGGTGGAATCTTGAGTTGTGGCCGAGAAATCCTGTTGGACATCAACCACCGTTTATGGCAGAAATCATCATGTGCCAATCATGTTGACTTGTACCTTTAAACTGTGAGTTTGTAAGCTTCACTGATTAAACTGCCTTTGCCTATATCAATGGAATCCTGCTACTGTCATGTATTCCTGTGCATGCCTCAAATGGGGTCCTTCGCCTACTGACTGCTGTTTCTTGGCATAGGCCCATGTCAGTTACACAGACCAACTTTACTACCAGGACATTTCATCACACCCATTTTCTGCTTGGTCCATTCAGTATCACTGGAGATTCCAATGTGCTTGAGGAACCCCCCCCCCCTCCCCCCCCCATATAATCCTGGCAGTCATGCCACCAGTCACATGTGCTATAACTAGCCAAGGACGCACATACCTCACCAGCCACCTATATGTGCTCTTACTGTGAGGTTATGTAACACACATACCTCACCAGCCACCTATATGTGCTCTTACTGTGAGGTTCTGTAACAAACATACCTCACCAGCCACCTATATGTGCTCTAACTGTGAGGTTCTGTAACACACATACCTCACCAGCCACCTATATGTGCTCTAACTGTGAGGTTCTGTAACACACATACCTCACCAGCCACCTATATGTGCTCTAACTGTGATGTTATGTAACACACATACCTCACCAGCCACCTATATGTGCTCTTACTGTGAGGTTCTATAACAAACACACCTCACCAGCCACCTATATGTGCTCTTACTGTGAGGTTCTGTAACAAACAAATGTGCTCTTACTGTGAGGTTCTGTAACACACACACCTCACCAGCCACCTATATGTGCTCTAACTGTGAGGTTCTGTAACACACACACCTCACCAGCCACCTATATGTGCTCTTACTGTGAGGTTCTGTAACAAACACACCTCACCAGCCACCTATATGTGCTCTTACTGTGAGGTTCTGTAACAAACATACCTCACCAGCCACCTATATGTGCTCTAACTGTGAGGTTCTGTAACACACATACCTCACCAGCCACCTATATGTGCTCTTACTGTGAGGTTCTGTAACAAACACACCTCACCAGCCACCTATATGTGCTCTTACTGTGAGGTTCTGTAACAAACATACCTCACCAGCCACCTATATGTGCTCTTACTGTGAGGTTCTGTAACACACATACCTCACCAGCCACCTATATGTGCTCTAACTGTGAGGTTCTGTAACAAACATACCTCACCAGCCACCTATATGTGCTCTTACTGTGAGGTTCTGTAACAAACACACCTCACCAGCCACCTATATGTGCTCTTACTGTGAGGTTCTGTAACAAACATACCTCACCAGCCACCTATATGTGCTCTTACTGTGAGGTTCTGTAACACACATACCTCACCAGCCACCTATATGTGCTCTAACTGTGAGGTTCTGTAACACACATACCTCACCAGCCACCTATATGTGCTCTAACTGTGAGGTTCTGTAACACACATGCCTCACCAGCCACCTATATGTGCGCTAACTGTGAGGTTCTGTAACACACAAACATTGCCAGCCACCCGTATGTATCCTGTGATGTTATGTAACATACACAGCTTGCCAACCACCCTTATGTGCTCTAACTGTGATGTTATGTGAAACACATACCTTGCCAGCCACCCGTATGTGCTGCAACCGTGGCAGCAGATGGCAGTCAGCAAAAGACAGCACATTGTCCACCAAGAACTTAGTGTCCTGGCTCTCAAGGTACTCATTGAGTTTCCTCAGCTCAGCCAGCAGACCCTTCTCAGACTGTCCAGAGATGTAGTGGTTGAAGTGCTGCAACAGACACAAACACAACCAGTTACAACACATTAATACTCATTCTGATTATCTCTACAGCAGTGCTTCCCAAACTGTGCGCCACAGCACCCCGGGAAGCTGCACCTCTTCACAGGGGTGCCGCAAAATTTTGGAAGATACACAATTTTTTTTTTAAATTTTTACATACAAATATTCATATTTTAACTTAGGTTAGGGCACCTTGGAAAAATTTTAATTGAAAAAGAAGCGCCACGACCAAGAAAAATCTGGGAAACACTGCTCTACAGACAATATCATTGTTGCAGCTTTCCATTATTCCAGTTGACAGAGTAATACTGTGCTAAACACAGGCACAGGAACCACAGCCAGTGTGACAAGCAAGACCCACTCACCTTGATTGACTCTTTTGGTATAGTGCAACTCACTGTAAATTTATTAACTTGTCTATACATGGTATGCATCTTTTAAATTCTCTCTGGCATATTCTGAAAATCTGAACCATCACCTCCTGGTACCAACAGCGAAGCGACTTGATGGATAATTTCATGCTTCATTATATGTTGATGTAACCCTGTAGTAATGCACCTGATGAGATACAGTAAAATATGCCTAGCAGCAATGTATTGTTTGTGTCCGCATTATTTTAATTCACAAAGGGAAAACACTGTTTTGGATATTTTCTGTTATCTAAAATCATTATACAGTGCAGACAACTTAAGGCTGTGGTGAATTTCTGCTGTAAAGAACATTTTGTTTATCCCCATACATTTTTCATGCTTGAACTCTTATCTGGATATGAGGAATTTCTGATAGTAGGAACAATTTCTTGGGTCCTCAGTGAGTTCTCCTTATCAGGTCTGCACTGTATCACATTCATTACTTTAACTTATTATACGCCATATTTATTATTTTAACTCAATATTCAATGTCTGTTTCTCTAAAGAGCGCACACTTTGAGATGGAACATATTGATGTCACAAGTGTCTGGGATCGAAAAAGTTAGGAAAAATCTTCCACAATCAGAACATGGGATATCAGCAGCACTGTGGCCACTGCATGCTTGCTCTCAGTTGTTTATCTCTTAACCTATTTGCAATAACATTTTCCTATGCCCCTTGGGATCACCCCCCTCCAAGCCCCCACTTCCCTTTTGCAGCACAGTTTATGCACATCCTATGCCCTCAATAACAGGACAATCTTTGCCTAATGCCATGTCTGTTCCAAGGCAGTCCACAAAATCACTTATTTCAGATCAGCTCCATCTGATGAGACACTGACTGCTAGACATCTTCCACCTTGAAGACGTACCTTTCCAGGAAATATAATCCAGTCACACCTTTAAATATGATCTGAGTTATTGTGAGCCGGCTCACAAACTGACCTCACGATATCTCGCTCAAAATTTTTAGCTAGGCCTGTAAATATAAATTACCGTATAGGCTGAGCCTCAAACATATAGCTGTAGCGCTAACAGAGCACTGAATTTATGTTAGTTTTTTTTAATTCCTCCTCTTCTTGTTCACTGGCTGTGAGCTCCAGCGGAAAGTCCTGATTGTTCGTCCACTTGGACTTCTGGCTTTGTTCCAGGACCTGAGTTTTGAGTGTACATCTGTTTTACTGTGTTTCCTGCCTCTCGGGCAGATGTCCTCCGACTTCAAAGAAAGATGTTGATTCTATCTATAAGATGACTGTAGCCAATGTTTAGTAGGACATGATGTTGCTTCATTTGTGTGAAAAGCTCTTTATCTAAAGGTGTTGCCCACGTAGATCCCCTTTAGGGCAATTGTGTGTAGACCAGGCACCCCTCAAGAGAAGACAGGGGCAAATCATGGGCAATTCCCGCCATCCAAGGAGGCTTCCATAAATGCAGAGCTGACACATGGTGCTCTGGTTCTGGGCTCATCGAAGGAATCACATACTGCACATGACTGCTTAACCTCACAACCGTATGTTGAGCTGTCCACTTGTCACGACCTGCGCCCTGGGGAGATCAGCCTGCAGGTTCAGGACTCCGATGATCACACAAATAGATACATTCTTCTTTATCATGTTAGACACCTTTAATGTAAACAGGATTTTACAATGGGAAAGTGCCCACGGGAGATGTTAACTGGTCTAAGCAGCAGGCAAATCTCTTGGTCAAGGACTGAGTCTCAGCAGTTTATTTTTTTCTGTCACTCCACAGACTTTTAACAGAGAGTTGTCATTTAGTGGTACATTCAGCAGGCAGACTTTACTTATGTTTCAAATTAGCTTTGATAGATGCTTTCACACATGCTTGGGGGGGGGGGGGGGGGGGGGGGGGGGTAGGCTGATAGGGGTCAGGACAGTACACCTCTGGGGGCCACTAGCTGCAAGATCCCCTGCCAGCTCTGTTAATGCTTATTTGAGACATTATCCGTGGTGCACGATGGAGACATGCAGAAGCAGTCTTGCATGGGGTTCCATAAAACCAGCACAGAGAAGGCTGACGCCCTGGGTGAGGTACAGAGAATCTTCTTATACATATCACACCTGACTTAACTTTCCCTAAGGCTTGTGATCAAAATCACTGCGCCACTATTTGATTCATTTATATTAAACCTTTTGCCCCATAAAAAGGCGTGGAAAAGGGTCCTTTACTTTGTACTTTTATCTGGCCATAGAGTTGAAACGGGTTAAATTCTCATCCATGAGATGTTAATCCCAAAGATTACAATTCTGGAGGGCAAAAGCTTTTTTAAAATAGCAGTTATATAGGCGTACTGGTCAGTGCTCAAAGATGCCATGTCATTTATAAAATAAAGAACAAAAAAAAAAAAAAAAAGTAAAGTTACGAAACCGACTTTCTTTCTCGGGGCAACTGTATTTATCTGTGTTAATTTACCACAAAGTGTCACTAAACACAAGTTTGAGTTGGATATATTTGTGGCAATCAAAAATACATAACTGTTAGGCGTGCAGTCTCTCTAGCTGGTATAGGCTTCCATGTTTTACCTGCCACATAAGTTGACCCCAAGTTGTCAGAAAGAGACCGTTTTAATTTTTTTGGTCATGTTATAAGAAGGAAACTGGAACATGATGTGCCCATTAAAAAGAACTGTGGAAAAAGAGACAGAAAGACATCCCTAAAAGATTCTTGACAGCCTTTTGCCATGGCATGGAGGGGTGTCAGCATACGATACACGCTGCCGAAGATTGCAGACTGCGAACGAGCATGATCATTCACACCAGTAGGCAAAGCACCTAATGGTGATGACAGATTCTCGCAAGGATTCTCTGCTGTTTCCCTCTTTCAGCCATAAACAACTTACCATATATTAATTGCTATTACAAGAAAATTCAATGTTGTTGTCCTCTATCAAACATTCGTTATATTAATCCTGTATATCTAACAAGATTATTTACACTTTTTTTAATGGCTTCGAGGGGTATCAGCATAGAACCAATAAATGCTGTTGCCTGCAGGCACTTGATGATGACCTCTAAATTATTGGTTAACTGGTTTAAAAACAGTGGCTCTGTATCAACACTTCTAAATGTTAAGCAAAAAAAATTACTTTTAAGTTCAGCTTCTTGGGACAGAATGGGTTAAAGTGACAACTGTTTGGTACTGGACGAGTTAAACATTGTGATCAGATATCTTTGGCAGGAGAGGGCGATCTAACTTATCATGAGCCTTCTGCTGTCAGTCATCCAGTCTGATAGTAGTAACATGTGTGACATTTCAAAGGTTTGAAACAGGTCAACTCTGGTGGAAAGTTGTGGTTGTTCACCCACTTTCGGACTGCAGTCCTGTTGCAGAACTTGAGTGTTGCGTGTACATTCCTTTCACAGATCCGACTCATTTGTATGCAGACTGCTGGTTCCTTGCCTCTCAGGCAGATGCCCTCCGACTTCGAAGGAAGCTCCCAATTAGTCGACTCTTACATGTTTTTGGGTAGGCAGTGGTTCTATCCTTGTTTTTCCTATAATAGGGTCCCAGAACCCACACGTGGGATGTTTGAAAGTGTGACTGGTACATATACCGACAAGGTCCTTCTTCTGCGTTTGCTTAAAAGCGGTTGGTATGCTGTGTTGTGGTTTACGGCTTTCGCCCCAACACATCAGAATTTACTAAAATCATAATTAGTCCTCTTAAAAAACATGCTTGTTAGGGGACAGTGAATATAGACCCCCCCCCCCCTTTCCCCCACCTCAAATGGAACCCTGACGGACACGGGAAAACATAAGATAAAAGTACAGATACTGATCTCTCGCCCAACGACACCCGGTCGGCGAAGTACTTAAAGACACGATACAGAAAACGCGGATGACCTTGACATTCCGGTAACCCTATAAAACAGCTGGCGGTACAGCCCTTATCTACACACCACAAATAAAAGGAAACCATATAAGACAGCTAAGGAACCTTCTTCGATATAGCAGGCCTCCGGGCGGCTGAAAGAGGATCAAATTTGAAATTTTTGTTGGACGAATTGGATTTGGAATTGGCCCTTATTGCCGACCCAGTATGGGACGCATGTTTTGTTATTTTAAAGCCACCACTCCGGCTGTTGTCGGGGGTCCTAATACAACGTAACGATTGAACGGGGTTTCTGGGTGATTCTCATCTGAAGGTGGCACTTGATGCCACTGGGTGTTTATCGCTCGTTGTGCGGTCCGGGTGGGGTTGAACTTCATTCTTCACGACAGCGCTCGTTCCCGGCCCACAGCTCCGACAAAATCCGAGTGAATCTACTGATGGTCGAAATGTGGCGACTTGTTGCTGACAGCTTGCTGAAAGTGTCACTGAACAAGAACGTCCCCAGTGTAATGGAGACAGCCTTGCCCTGAACTTGGGAATCGCGATGGCGTAGTGCCTACAAAAAAAAAAAACCACCAGCAGGCCCGAAGGTCATGGGTTCAAATTCGCTTTCAAGCGCATTTTAATTTCACAACTGACTTGTTTCTCTCAGGTCGATCCCCAGCCTAAAATGGGTCTCAAGTAATATCCGGAGAAAGTAAAGGCGGTCGGTGTGATGCTGGCCACATAA